GTCTGGGCACTGGAGACATGGCTGCCTCCTTCCCACCAGCTGGCTGGATCCAACCCCAGGGTCCAGGGCACCATCAGCACTGCACCTAGCCCCCTCCCACACTCCCTTTGCTTTGCCTTCCTTCTGGTGCAGGTTACATTCAAGAACCTGGCCTCGCGGCCCTTCTCCTTCCACTCCACACTGCAAGCCTACGAGGAGACACAGGGTACAACACAAGGTGGAGAGGTGGTGCAGCCCGGTGAGCTCCGGAAGTACTCCTGGAAAGTCCTGCCCCAGATGGCACCCACCACAGAGGAGTTTGACTGCAAGGCTTGGGCTTACTTCTCCAATGTGGACCTGGTAGGTGGGAGCGTGCTCCATGGGGCATCCCAAGGAGGAGAGATGGGCAGCATGCCTGGGTCCTGGCTGTGAGGTCAAGGCTTTTCCTATGGTGCTGTGCTGAAAGCAGCTTCTGGCAGTGTAGATTCTCAGGTGTCTAATACAGTGATGAATGCCTGCTGGTGCTTTCTTTTCTCTTCCCTTCTCTTAAATGGGTTTTTCCCCTTTTCCCCCATTGTACCAGCTTATGAGGCTTGTAGGAAACTAGCATTCTGCAGTCCTCTACCTCTCTGCCAAACCTGGCTGAATTTGGCCCATGGGTTCCAATGTTAGTCGGGTAGGGACTGTTGGACGGACAGACACCACTTGTCTTGAAAGCACATGCAAACACTTGCTGCACAGCCTTTCTTAGCTAGGGGCAGAGCAGGGATCCCCCAGTGAACCCAGCATGTCCTTCCCACCCTGCACATGCCATGCCCTGTGCACGAGTGGGAGCCAAGCCAGCAATGCAGACAGGGCCACTGCTTTCCTCTCTGCTGTGCCACTTGCGGGCATCAGCGCTGCCTCCCGCTCTGCAGCAAACCCTTCTTTCCTGGCTCCCTGGCAGGAGAAGGACCTACACTCAGGCCTCATTGGGCCGCTGATCATCTGCCGCCATGGGGTGCTGAGCTTCATTTTCAGGCGGCAGCTGGCTGTGCAGGAGTTCTCCCTGCTCTTCACCATCTTTGACGAGACCAAAAGCTGGTACTTCCTGGAGAACATGGAGAGGAACTGCCGCCCTCCCTGCCGCATCCAGCAGGACAACCCTGATTTTAGGAGAAACCATTCCTTCCATGGTGAGGACCCTTGCCCTTGCCCTTTCCATCTCACAATCTATATTGGGATGGAAAAACCCTGGAGCCTTGAGCAGCTCCTGACTGCTGCCTTCCCCAGCCATCAACGGCTACGTGAGTGACACACTGCCTGGGCTGGTGATGGCTCAGCAACTACTGAATATGGGCAGCACTGAGGATATCCACTCCGTCCACTTTCACGGGCAGCTGTTCAGCGTCAGGACTAGCCAGGAGTATCGCATGGGAGTCTACAACCTTTATCCTGGTGAGATGCAGCGCAGGCACTGTGCACACCCTGGCTGCTGGGTCTTCATGTCCATGTCCGTTAGGAAGTGCCAAGCCTGCAGAGGGACAGCAAGGAGGGGGGATGGATCTGGAAGAGTCTGGCTCTGTGTTTGCACAGCGCTTGGCACTGTGGCATCCCAGTACAGCCAGTAACTCCCCTCTGCTCTGCTTTCCATTCCTGGCCAGGTGTCTTTGGGACAGTGGAGATGTGGCCCTCGCATGCCGGGATCTGGCGGGTAGAGTGCAAAGTGGGAGAGCACCAGCAAGCTGGGATGAGTGCTCTCTTCCTCGTATACAACCCGAGTGAGTGATCCTCTTTGTGCCCTGGCCCACTTGCTGTCATGGTGATGGCCAGCATGAAAAACATGAGCTCCCTCTACCAGGGCTCTCAGTGTTTCCCCTGGGGTGACCCAAGTGGGTCTTCTGGGTTTCCACTCTGAAAGAAAGTCACAACTTGCCACCATACACAGCCCAGGAGAGAACACAGAGTCAGGGACATGGTTGGGGTGAGGGCTGGGAGACCAGTTTCATTTGCCTGAAAATATTTTCTCCCAGAGCTCTTGTTTTCCAAAATTGAGGGTCCCTGGTCCTCCTGTAAAATGCACTTACCCCAGCAACTGCATGCACATACTGGTGCCTCCCCGTGCTGTTCAGGAAGGTACAGTGCCCAGCTGCCTAACCACATATGAAGAGGTAAACTGAGGCATGGAGTGATGGCAGGAGGCAGTGAGTGACACTGCCTGACTACAGGTTGCTCTGATAGAAACAGCCCCAAGAGCAACTGCAAAATCCACAGGAAACCTCTGACTTCATTCATCGCAGAACACCACATTTCTACCTCACCATAAGTTAGCACTGGAGGAAGTGGTTTGTGAGAGTAGTATTTTATCACACAGTGACAGTCTCTCTCCTCTTCCTAAAGGAGTATTAAATGTCAGCCAGAAAATGTTTCCATAAGTTAAAAATCTGCTTAAGATTTCAAATTCACATTTTCCCCAGAAACATTTGCCATGCAGCAGAGATGCCAAGATGTGACAAGTCACTAATAATAATGGTTATTATAAAAGACAAACAGCCCTGTGCTCAGCAGACCAGAAGAGAGACACAGAGACACAGGGGTGTCAGGCAGACTTTCCTTCAGCGATGTGATATTTGTTTTTAAAAGATGCTGCCTAGCAACAAAAAAGCCCAGGAACAAGACATGGGTACAAGGAAGAGACACTTGTCAGCATTGCTGGGAGATCAGGACATGGGAATGAGAGATCGGGGACTCAGGGACAGGAGTTTGGCAAGAGGCTGCTGTGGCTGATGCTGGGAACTCTCTGCTGCTGACATTGGGGTTGGGAGCAAGAAATTCCAGCACCCCTAAGATTCAGGGATGGATGTGGAGACATCTGAAACCCACCGCTTAATGTGAAACAAACAAGCCTAGGGGCTCCTAGAAGCTTGAGACAACCTCCCTGAGCCTTGAGGCTGCTACCCAGCCTAGGCTTTTCCTTCAAAAGCCTTGTTATCTAATCAACTCTCCCTGGTTTTCACCCTCTTTCTCCCTGTTTGGCTGCAGACTGCCGAAATGCCCTCGGCCTGGCCTCGGGCCACATTGCAGACTCTCAGATCACAGCATCGGGGCAGTATGGTGAGTAGGGTTTGTTGCTGCAAGGAAGGCAGGTGAGGCTGGGGCAGCTTCAACCAATACAACTCAGGTGCTTGCCTGCCCAAGGCCCTGCTACACTGCGTCCCTGGCAGAATCCTTCCTCCATCCATGCCCATGTCAGTGTTCCACTTGGGACCTGAAAGTGCCTTCCCACATGTCTCTCCCATCATGTCAGTGCTCTGCCACCCTCTATGTGGCTACTAAACCCTAGGGTGATCCTCAGACCTCATCCTGAGGATGGGCTGCTCACAGCCTCAGGCTGGGCAGCGTGAGTGGTCAGCAGCACCCTCATACTTGTGTGCTCTCCTCTCAGGGCAGTGGGCTCCTTACCTGGCCAGGCTGGATAACACTGGCTCCATCAATGCTTGGAGCACCGACCGCAGCAATGCCTGGGTCCAGGTAAGTGGGGCTCCGTGGTTGCAGGCACTGCTGGGGGCATTGCAAGGGCATGCATATGGCTGCTTGTGCAGAAGGATCTGCATGGATAGCCCCAGCTACGTCCTGCTACTTTCCCTCCTTCCCCTCTGGGAGGGGACCTCTGAGATCCTAATGGCAGTGGGTCTGTCCATGGTTGCTGCTGGTCTGACCCCCAGATTCATCCTCAGTGCAGGAGAGGAATCACTTGATGGTCTGGCTGCAGCATCAAATTGTGCAAAAATCCCCCAAAGACCAAATGAGAATAGCTCACCTCTTCAAAGAGCTTTCCCCTGCCCTCTCCCAGCTGTTGGCTGACTTGTGCCTTTATGAACTAGTTTCATAAGCTCTGCTCAGTTACATCACAAGGAAGTGATTTCCATGGGTTTACAGTGCATTGCCTGAATGCGGCTTGGGTTTTCCATCAGAAATGAATCCCTGACTTTCATTCTCAGGTGGACCTTTTGCGTCTCATGATTATTCACAGCATAAAAACCCAAGGGGCCCGACAAAAGTTATCCAGCCTCTACATCTCCCAGTTTGTTGTCTTCTACAGCCTTGATGGGCAAAGGTGGAGGAAATACAAAGGGAATGCCACCAGCACCCAGATGGTAAGGTGAATAGGTCTTGAGGACAGTGTCTTCCCAGAATGGGGTCTCTTGGGGTGATGAGGGCTAGGGAGCTCTGTACACAAGGCAGAGATCTCCTGAGTGTCTGAGATATTTGATTAGGGAAGGAACAGTGAGCATTCACTGCCAGGATGACTGAATCGCAGATTACAGATCTGCAAGGGACTTGCTGTCTGTGTCTATCTGTTTCATTTTAAAATGACTGAGCTATTTCTTTCCATGATCCCAGGTGGCTGCGAGATCCACTGCTTAATGTTATATTGCATGCATGTTACTTAGAGCTAGGCATAAGATTTTGCCTGAATATCTTTTATGACCCCAAAGGCAAATTTGGCTTTCTAAAAACTTTGTGCAGATGCAGATGATTTGGGGGATCTCTACTTGTTAGAAAAAAACACAGCCTAAATATGCATAAGCTGATCATTCCAGCAGGAAAAGAAAAGTCTCCATAAAAGCCTCGATCGTGTACACCAGCTGTGGCCAAAAATTTTCCCAGGTTCAAAAGTCCCAGGACTGACTTTTTGTTTTCTTCTTCTTCTTTTTCTCCCCTCTGATGAAAATATAAAAACATGTTCATTTGCACAGACCCTAAGTTTCTCCTCCTCCTGTTTCTCAGTGGTTCACCCTGATTTGGCCCATTCACACTTCTTTGGTCTGAATCACATCTCAAATAATTTCCCTGAGCTGCCATTCTCTTGTAAGGATGGTGATAAGATACGGAAGTGTCAGACAGAAATGCTCTTCTCCCAATAATCCTTGTCCTATCTAGCTCTCTTTCCACTGGTACAACAATCCTTTTCCTCCCTTTCCCTGCAGCTGTTCTTTGCAAACGTGGATGCAACCGGAGTGAAAGAAAATCACTTCAACCCTCCTATCATAGCCCGGTACATCCGCATTAATCCCACTCACTACAGCATCCGAGCCACACTGCGCATGGAGCTCATCGGCTGTGATCTGAACAGTACGTCCCACCTCCAGATACCAAGCACCAAAGCTGGGGCCTGATCCACTGGGGTGCTGAGCACAAGCTCCAAGTGTTTCATGACTCCCCAGGCAGTTGTGGAGGGGGAAGGAGGAGGCTGGATGTGGCATTGAGACATTGGGGGAACAAAATTGGAAAATCTTGTTATGGTCTTAGAGAGAGCCATACCAGAGGGAGAGCATGGGACCAGCTCTCACCACTTTTTCCTGAACCACCAGAAACCTCCAGCAGTACCTGATAGCTGGGGAGCTGCTGCCTCAGTCTGGGGAAGCAGGGAACAAGCAGAGACAGATGCTATTGGCTTTTCCTCTGGTTTTGCAACTCCAAGGTGAGACTGCTCTGGCCCACAATGTGTCCTAGGGCAGTGGTGCTCCGGGATCCTTTCTTTATCCCTGCACGTGAGCAGGGAGGACTTTCCAGCAGCTACAAGCAGCAGTGGCTGTGCTGTCACCCCACGCCACAAGCCTTCCAGCCGGCTCTGAGGCAGCTGTGCACATGATCACACCCTGTGCAGGGTGTCTCCCTGCCAGGTATTCTTGTCCTTCCCCCGGAGACAGGTTCTCCTTACATCCTGGCAGATGCACAAATCCTTCACATTCTTCCTAGATAAAATCTCCAGGAAGAAAAGAAGGTGGACTAGTGTCAGGTCTAGTTTGGCACTCCCCAGCCAGTGTCATGCTGCACACAGGGGCCCTGAGCAGTGCAGGGACCATGACACTGCAGCAAGGCACAGGAGAACCTGTAACCAGGGAAAGTGCATGGAGGGTGGCTGGACCAGTGAGCAGCCAGAAGGCATCTCCATGATGGGTCTGTTCCCCCCTCTGACAAGCATTGCTCCTTTCTTCCAGGCTGCTCCATGCCCCTAGGAATGGAGAACAGAGGGATCCCTGACCAGCGCATTTCCGCCTCCTCCTACAGCACCAATGTCTTCTCCAGCTGGTCACCCTCCCAGGCCCGCCTGAACCTGCAGGGGAGGACCAACGCATGGAGGCCAAAGGTAGCCCATGCAAGGAGATCCCCAGCCAGGCAGCTGGGGCATGGGCAGGCAGGTGGGATCCCAGCAGGCAGGGCTGGGCGGAGGGGTGTGTACAGCCACGTGCAAGCTGTCTGTACACAGGCAGGAGATTTGCTGCACTGATTTAGCACCCAGCAGCTCCAAACAGATGCTTGGTAGGGTAGGTGAAGCCCAGGACTATGTGGAGGGCTAGCTTGGCTTCGGCTGCAATGAACGTGTCTTTCTCATTGCTGCTGAAGGGTTGAAGGCAGTCTGTCCTTCCCCAGAGCAACAGTCCCAGTGAGTGGCTGCAGGTGGACTTTGAAGTAACCAAGAAGGTGACTGCAATCATAACCCAAGGCGCCAAAGCTGTCTTCACCCACATGTTTGTGAAGGAGTTTGCTGTCTCCAGCAGCCAGAACGGCGTGCACTGGAGCCTGGTCCTGCAGGACGGCAAGGAGAAGGTAGGCAAGAGCAGCTCTACGGCCAGAGGCAGCCCATGGCCACCCCTGGGGCAGCAAGCACAGCCCTTGGCAGCAAACATGCTCACAGGATTTTTTGCAAGAGCAGTGAGCCTGGCTGTGTGTTTTCTTCCCTAAAGCATTCCCAAGTGGCTCTTGTCTGGGTTGATCATGCCCTCAAGTCATGGGCTCACTATACCAGCAGAGGAGAGCGCAACCCCTGATTTCTATCTCCTCTCCAGATTTTCAAGGCAAACCAAGACCACACCAGCACAGTGATGAATACCCTGGAGCCCCCCCTCTTTGCCCGCTATGTGAGGGTACACCCCCGCCAGTGGCACAACCACATTGCGCTGCGGATAGAGTTCCTTGGCTGCGACACTCAGCAGGAGTACTGACGGCTGTGGGGGCCAGGCATGGGCAGCACCGGCCCAAGGACCTGCATCCAACTGGTCACTGAACTCTCACCGGGGTCAGAGCCAGCCCTCCAGGGCCCTGGCCACCCCTGCTGCTGGGGAGAAGGCGGCCTGCGTAGCTGTTGCGGTGGCTGCCTTGTTTTCAGCCTCTTCCTGTCCCTCATCTCCCAGATGCCATATAGTCAGATGTAAAGCTGAAGAATTAAACAGTAATTTTCCAGTGTAATGCTGAAGAATTAAACAGTAATTTTCCAGTATCTCTCTGCACTTTCTCCTCTGCTCCGGCCTTGGATTCCCTGGGGGCTCAGTCAGCATTACCAGCAGCTAGTAATTAATTAGCCCCAGAGCTTCTCATCTTCATTTTGCACAAGCTCCGGCTGCCCAGGCACAGTCCTGGAGGAGGAGGAAGCAGCAAAGATAAGGGCTGGGGGAGGAGGCCCTGCTCCAGGCCCCAGTGTCCATTTCACAATCAGTGGGCATCAGTGCCTCGAGGGAGGGGCAGCACTTGCTCAACCTGACTCAGCACTGGGCTTTGGCCTTCCACTTCCCTTCATCTTCTTCCCATAATGCTCCTGCTGCTGTTGCTGAGTGCCACCATCCTGCTTTCCAAGCCTGCCTCGAGCAAGCCCTCCTTGCTCGTTCACTGGTAGGTCCCTGTGGCTCACAGGGGCTCTGGTGGGACATTGACCACTGGATGAGCCTTGCCATGATCCCCAGCAAGGTGTGTCATGGGCCGGAGCCATCGTCCTGCCACGGGTGGCTCTCCCCGTCCCTGGCACCCTCCCAGGAATGGCAATAAGCAGGGTGACGCCGGCTCCTGTCTCATGCCTCTCATGGGGTGGGGACCTTCCAGAGCAATGGCCACCTCACAAAGGGCTGGACCGCCTGGCGGGCTGTGGAGCAGGCAGGCAGCACTCTTCTCCGCAGCAGTGGCAGCATTGTCATCACTGCCAGCTCGTCAGAGCCCGCGCCAACCCATCCCGAGCGCTGAGTCCTCCCTCTGGTTCGGGAGCCAGGCAGCCCCACAAACACCTCTGGCAGCTGGCATGGGGTGAGAGGCAGGGTTATGAGGGGGCTTTGGAGAATCGGGGGGTTGAGCCAGGTGCTGGCCACCATTGCAGTGGAATGGGCAGGGTAGGTGCACCAGCCCAGCAACAGTCAGCGACTGGCTTGTGAATTCCCATGGCACCCCATCAGAGTCAGGTAGTCTCTGCTCATACCTATAAGAGATTCGGCCTGGGGCAGCTCTGAGGAGAGCTCTGCCGCAGCAGCACCAGGGGATGGTCATGATGGGGACCCCAGGGTGGCTGTGCAAGAAATGGCTGCTCTGAGCCACCCAGCTCCTGCCCACCTTTGGGTGCACTGGGCTAGCTGTGGTGCATGCAGACGGTCTCCTCCACAGCCTGTGTCCAGAGGAGTCAGGGACATGAGCTGCAGATCAGCCTGGTCGTGTGACCTGAACCCACACCCAGCGGAGATCAGAAGCTGATGTCTCAAAAGAAGCAGGGCTGAAAAAGCCTCATGCTACTTCCAGGCTCCACATTGCTGTACAAGGAGTCTTTGCTGTGGCCCTGGCAGTGATTACATTATAGCCCCAAGCACGAGATGCAATCACCCTTTGGCTTAATTGCATTCTGACAATAACCAGGCACAGATGAGAGGACAGGTTGCCTCGCAGGGACTGGCCTGAAGAGAATATTGGAGCCATAAGCTTCTCAAAGGGGAACACCCTTGCCTGAGGCAGGGTAGCCTTCAGTCTGGGAGGACAAAACCTGCCACCTTCGGCCCTTCTCAAGGCAACCTTCCTCAGCTCCAAGGCAACTGTGTCTCTCCTGAGCACAATGGCCAATGCTGCACAAGGACAGCTGGCTGCAGTCTCTGGACCACCAGTGCAGAGGAGCATGCCAGGCATCGTGAAGGGCCTGATGGCAGAGACAACAGAGCAGAGACATAAGCTCAGCCCTGAACAGCAGCTGGACTGTAGACAGAGACCCACACACACTCACTAAGGAGCTGGCCCAGTCCCCCATGTTGATGCCCTTGGATAATGGCAGACATCTGCACCCTCTGCCCATGGCTACCACTACTGGGCCTGAGCAGCTGTAGCTTAAATACCCATCAGGTATTTAAGGGTGAGGGACTGATGGGCACCGGTCAAGAGCAGGGGGTTTTGGCAACGCAAAATTGGTGAGAACCACAAGTCCACCTGCTCAGATGCAGGTGTAGTCAGTCACACAGGACTGCCTGCTCCGTATGGTTCTGGCTGCCTTGCCTCTCAGGGCTGGTACGCAGTTCTGCTTGGTGAAGCAGGGACACAGTCCCTGCCTGTACCAGTGGATGCTCAGACTCATCCTGCCCCCAGAAACAGGCTGCCATGTTGTGGCACATTTGTCTGGTGACACAAGGTTAGATCACAGAACAAGCTGTGTGCACCAGAGCCCTCTCTGGATTATTTTCAAAGAGGAAACAGGGCTGAAATCTCTGCAGATGACTGAGCAGCCTTCACCAACCAGCCCTGAGCAGCTCCAGGATGTTGTTCTCCAGCCACCCAGGAAGCAGTGAAGGGGCTGTGCTGAGCGACAGCACTAGGAAGGGGCTGTGGGCAGGTGGGCAGATGTGTCAGACTCTGCCAAGCTCTGGCATCCATTACTGGAAGCATCTCTTGACATTTATCTTGTGGAGAATGGAGAACAGACGCTGTTTTCTCCCAGTGTGACACAGATCTGAGATGCATCACAGCCTCCCCCAAGCCACAGACATTTCTGTGCAGGGGAAGGGCTGGACCAGCACAAAGCCCTCTGCCTCTCAGCCAGGGGATGCCCTGCCTAGTCACCACCCTGCAAAGAGCTCTGCTGCAGCAGGGGCTGACTGGTCAAATCCTCCTGGACACTGGGGATCTTATTCTCTTTCATGGCTCAGCTGCTAGGATTGCCTGGGCTGGGTGAATCCAGTGATCATGCAGCTATCTGGTCTCTCCAGGAAGACAAAACACATCCCTGACATCCCTTTCTAGTATAGCCCAAGCAAAGATTATTTTGCAATCCAAAGTGTGCGAGGTGTTTCAATGCTGAGCCCTAGCCAGATAAGCCATGGGCCAGGGCTGCTTCTGAATCCAGCTTCTTCCGTGCTGGATGGAGAGCCCCCAACACACAGCCCCAACCTGAGCCAGATGTGGGGGGGGTGTATGCAGGTATTGCAGCTGGGCAGACAGGCACCATTATCAGAAAAAGTTGCTAGCACGTAACAGAAACGGGCAGCAGCATGCTGAAGAGAGCACCTGAGCAGGGACCTTGGCTGACAGGGAGCGAAGCCAACTCAGAAAAGCACAGCTTAATTCCCAGCTCAGCCATGGAGCTAGGGCCAAGCTGCTCACTGCCTCCTCTGCTTTTGTTTCCCCGTATGTAACCAAGAGGGAATGAACAGACTTAGACTTCCTTTTTCTGTCTGTCAGGTGTCTCTTGTCACATTTCTCCCTTCTACTACATATTCCATGATTAACTGCAGGGCTTCTCTCTGCTCTCCATATCTCTTGCCTCCTACCCCACATTGTTACCAGCCTGTTTCTAGCCCGTGAGTGCAAGAGGAGCCTGGAGCCAAGGCGTCCTGCCTCCACCATGTGCTCAGGGCAGCATGTTTCAAAGCCATGCCCCATGATCCCACTGTATGTCCACACTCCCACCTCAACCTACTCTCTCCAGGAGAGGCAAGGCTTGCTTTCAATGAGTATTCCTCCCAGGCTGCCTCAGCTGCTGGGTAAGGGTGCTCCAAAGTGCTCTGCGGATCCTTCTTGGTCAGCTGGGCAGAGCTAGGGGAGATGATGGTCCAAGCAGCAGCCTCCAGCCTAGTGGGCACATCTGTTGGTGCTGAAGGCAGTCAGGCACCTCGGGACTTTTCTAGACCCTCGACCTAGTCCATTATTTTCTCATCCTAATCTGATTTTACAGGCTTTCCAGGGAATGCCACAGATGAAGTCTGGGCCACAGGTCCCACTGTGCTCAGCTGCAAAACATAGCCCTCATAGCTGTCTGTCTTCTGCTCCTGGTGCTGACTGCCCTGATCTTCTACCATCACTGCAAGCCTGTTGCACAATTTGGTATACTACTTATACAGAACTTGCTTAGCATTAGTAGCTAAATTTGCTGAAGCCTTAGGCCACAGGCCACACCCAAATATGCTGAACTTTTACCTAGTTAAGTAAAAGGCCCAGAGCTGGTTTGAGCTGGCAGATAAGGAAGCAAGGAAGGCCACTACCATCATCAACTAATGCAGCAATCTTAGAGTTAAGAAAAGAAACGGCCCTCCTAGAGACAATGAAGGGACCCAATGAAGAACGGGTAGACTCCAGACCCTAATATTACTACTGGACAGAACTGTTGCATGAGGAGTGGGGAACTTAGATTGTAAGAGTATGATTGCCCAGGGATTTCTTTGTTCAGGGTCCCTCTTTGGAGGCACCCAGCTCGAGCTGCTCTGCATAAATAAATAAATAATTGTATGGTCGGGTAAATAAACCACTTATTTACTCAGTGGATTGGTTAGTCATCTTCTTCAAGCAGGAACCTAGGGCTGAGCCCTGTTGACGGTGGAATAATGCCTGGCAGGCAGTGTTAATTCCCTCAACGAAGCCCAAGGCCACCTCCCAGCTGGGCAGTGTGAGGCTGAGGATAGGGCAGGAATTGGATCTGGAGCTACATGTGGATGATGCGGAAGACTCCAGCAAGGTGATCCCATGTAAGTGCACAACAGCTGCCACAGGGGAGGGACTGATAGGAAGACCCTGTCCTGAGCAGCACTGACTGCCCACTCCAGCCACCTCTGAGTGACAGATCCATGGGTTTCTGCCTCTTAATCCCCATCCACTTGATGTATCTGCTGTGGAGGAGAAAGGGGTGGGCAGCTAGCCCTACAGGGCAGTCCTGCGCTGGAGACCACTGCAGGAACTTCAGCCCAGGGGGCTGGAGTTTTCCAGGAAGTGTCTTGGG